TAAAACGTAAGAATGAAAAACGCGAAATGGAACAATGCATCCAAATCATACGTTGCATTGTTTCATGTAACGGAAATTTTTATCAATGCTCCATTGGGGTGGTAGAGCAGTTTATTTTGCAGTGGCTTTTACATTGTTAAGTTTTTTTTTTTTTTTTTTTTTTTTTTTTTTTTTTACCTGTCCTGCAAGACACTTGCTATTTGGTAGTTCCCTTTTAGTAGAACAAAAAGTTGGAGGAGCAGACACGCCCATTTGGTGGGTCACCCCGTCCAGCTTCCCTAAGTTGCAGGGTCACCACCCTTCCTAAATGGAAACGCAAGAACCATGGAGGAGGATAACAGAATAGGGAAGGAGCAACTGGTATGCTGGGTGCAGAAAATGTTAAAGAGAAAGCGCTTTGACTTTCCTGACCTGAAAGATGGAGGAGTCTACGTGGAGCTGTTCCAATGCATATGGCCACAAATGATGAAAAAGTACCACCATGAAAATTACACAAATGGAAACAAAACGAAACAGAAAGAAAAAACAAACTGGACAATTATCAACTCTGTCCTCAATCATCTACAGATCGATTCTGCTTTTATAAGCTACAACCACATATACACGGAACCACACTTTAGCAGCTGCTACCAATCGTTGATCCTTTTATTCTTCCTGCACTCCTTAGTGAAGCATCACGCATGCGACTTTGTGCTAGCCTATCCCGTAACGAAAAAATTAACAGACTTTATGTCAAGTGAGGAACCTCTAAATTGTTTGGTCAGAGCTGGCTCTGTGCAGCTTCCTCGAAAAATTTGCAACGGCTTTTCCACAGACTTTCCCAACGCTGTGCAGGTGAATAATGCCGCGGTAACAAACGGTGAGCAAAAGGACAACCCCTTCGACATGGGCAGGTCGCAAAACTGTGTCTCCTCAAGATGGACTAGTGAACTGGACCACAGGGACTTCACCAATAGGCTTCATAACCTTCACAGTGTAAACATGAAAACGTCACCTCTGCTAAGTAGCAATGGACTTGTTACACCGTTTACAAATAGGGATGCAATGAGTAGCGATAAATCCTTCCCCTGCAGTAGTACAGGTGGGAACAACTGTGAGCAACGCAACACTACTAAGGGCAGGGTACGCACACCCCTGTGTGACACTGCGGATGGTGTCTCCCGGGGGGTAGACTACAAAGGGAAAGCAAACATTATCAAAGGTGTGCATAAAAAGTGGATGCATGAAACAACCGACGGTGAGAAACGGCTGAACGGGGAGGGGATAAATGGAGAGCCAGTCAGAAGCAACGCCTTATGCAGCTTCAACCAAATGGTCCCCCACCCCCGTAGCAACTTCTTCAAATATTTTAACAAAACGGAAGTAAGAAAAAGTGAAATTTTAGAAGAAGGGCCACATGATGATAGGAAGAAAAGTGCCTTTCCCCAAGGTCCCCATTTAAACTTCCTTTCACCTCCGAACATGCGCAGTAGCAGTAGTGCAGATTGTTACGAACATATAAAGGCTCATGTGAAGAAGACACAGGTGGATGCGAGTTGCCAAGCTGATAGTGATCCTTTTGCTAATTTCATACTTAACCATGATTCGATGAAAAATTTAAAATATACATGGAATGATGAAGAGAAAAAAATAAACGGGGAATCCTTCATTTGTTTTTTAAAGACTAAAATCAACATGTACAAAAGGGAACTTTGTCTGAAGGAGCAGGAACTCGAATTAACTAAACAAATAAAAAAAAAAGAAATTGAAGATGTTAAAATGGCTAACTCCGTCCAATTGGCAGTTGTCCGAGAGAAACACCAAGCTCAAATTTGTTACCTAAAACAGCAACACTTGGAAGATGCTACAAGAATGAGGAAACAGTTTGAGGAAAAAATATACAACCTAGAAGAAGACCTAACCCTAGACCTAGACGTGCTCCACTGCCAGGACAAAAACTCTGTTATAAGTAACCTACCAGATGACCAAATGGAATGGAGCAAATTGGATCAGGCGGACAGATGTATACCCAACCATGGGTATGCAGGTTGGGGTGAAGGACACCATGAGGGGGGCTTCACAGAAGGGGCAGATGTAGCAGTAGTAGACTACGAGGAGAAGGATGCGAACATGAACCGTTTTCTGTTTGACCAGGTGGATATGGGAAGTGTCATGAGGGGAGGAGGTTGTGATACAGATCACTACACCGACGATATTCCTAAGAAGAGAAAATTCTTAAATTTCGATTATGGCCTTGAGAATGGAAACGTGAGACAAACTCCAGAGGGGGAACCTGATGGAGGAAACCTCGCAGCGCTAACTACCAACACGAGTGGAGAGATACCCCTTGTAGAAACACACACGAGCAACAACGTCCAGGCAGCCATTAACAAAATAAAGCAACTTGTTAATAGAAGAAATGTAAAGCACGAATTGAACAATGAACACATAAGAGAAGAAATTGCAACTCTCAGAAGTGAAGTTGAAAAATTCAAATGTGGACGAGGGCGCGAATTGGACTTTGTCACAAACAGTGCTCAGGTGGTGAGCGAACTGCTACAGACGATTGATACGGAGGAGGAGCAGCAGGAGGAAGAAGAAGTGCCGCTCATAGATTGTCGGGACACGATGTCCTATATAGAACAGGAGCAAAGTAAAATTTACGAGATTATAAAAAAGGGCCATAATGATCTCCTCAAAAATGATCAAGTGGTGAAAATCCTCGACGCAAGTTTCATCATGCGGCTCCTCGTCCGCTTAGTTTGCGCATTAAAATTGGAAAGGGTTAAACGCCGCCTCATCGCTGAACGGGTGGGCATGAAGGGAAGCAGTGAAGGGGGAAGAGACGGGAGAGGCGACACACCAAGCAATGAAATAGGAAAACTCGAACACGAAATGGAAACAGAGGAACATATAAAAAGTGTCAACAGGAAGAACAAACGATTACAGTGCCTCAATGAGTACTACAAGAAGAGGTTAGGACATGTGGAGGTATGGACCCATACGCTTCAAGACATAAAATGGAAGTGCAACAATAATTTCAAGCAAAATGGCAGACATACGTTTACGTATAGAAGAGAAGAGACGGCTCTTCACGAGTCTGCGGAGATCCTTCCTTCAGGTGATACATCAAACGAGGCGGCTGCATCTGAGCCGTTAGCATATCCCCACGTTGCACCCGAATCTGTGTCTCTGCATCCTGTCGCTCCCTTGCCCCCCTTTCTGTGCTCGCCAGAATTTTATTTGCGATCCTTTGAAGAAGAAAACGAAAGGGACGCACAGCTCATGCATCTGTTGAAGCAGATCGGTAGGTGTGAAAATGAGGAAGATGCACCCCTTTTCCAAAATAACCCTCCCATGAGGTGCGAAGGAGGGGACAACAACGAGGAGCAAGCAAATGGGCGACAAATGAATTCAGATAAGCCTAACCTCAGTGCATGTTCCACAGAAGCATCGCTAAAAAAAAAACTAACATATAACTTCTGGTTAATACTTGGAGATACGTACAACTACAGGAATGTCATAGTAGAAGCGTGCCATTACATTTGTCGTTCAAATAGCATGATGAACAAGTACTTCTTAACGAGTGAGCAGAAAATGAGGGAAGAAAGAAGGCAATTCGCACACCTGTGCAACGATAAGGACACTGTCCACATGGAAGAAAAATACAAGTGGAGACAACTAATCGGAGCAGCGACATTGAATAGGGACATATATAAAGAGAAATATTTACAATTACAAAAAGAAAATGAAAAGGAAAGAAAGAATCTCCTGCATCTAACTAACCTCTGCTATGAACAAGAAAGTGTCAAATATAAAAATACGATTCATACATTTAGACAGGTAGATCATAACTGTAGGATTTACAAAGCAAGAGAAAAAAAATGGGTTCAGCTAGCCAAAATGCTGATAACCGAATTGACAAATTCGTCAAAAGATAACCAGGAAGAAGTGAAGAATGTCTGGCTGGAAATTGTTGCATCTCAGAAGAAGAAGAGGAAAAAAAAAAAAAAAAAGTGCATGCAGGGGGGAGATTCTAACTCGGAGAGACATATCGAGGAATGCATAACTAATGACGCTTGTGCAGGTGTGGATGCAACTACCTCACATTTGACGCCAATCAGACAGCGCAAAAAAGAGGTGGCAAATTTAGTGGGTAAAAACAAAGTGAGGAAGGGAACCTTAACCAATTGCGAACGGGACAACGTCGGAGAGAAGAAAAGGAGCAGTACTACCAGCCGTTGCGTTAGTGACAAATTGGGGTCTGCATCAAGGGGGGAGAGAAAGAGTGTGCACATGGATCGCAGCAATAACGACATGTACCGCCAACAGAATTCAATGTGTAAGCAAGCGTCTCCCTCAGTTCGTGCTGCCAACAGAAATATCGCTGAACGTGGCGAAGGGGGAAGTAAACTAAACGAACTGAACCACAGCAGGGATTATTTTAAGGGGAGCGGTGCGAACTACTACGCCAAAAATTTCCAATCCTTCCTAAATGATGTGCAACGTAGCTGCGTTCTTAACTTGTCTTCTGAGAGTGAACAGGACGTTTCGTTATCGGGGGAGGGCACTGCCGAGTCGCTGCATAGCGGCAGTGACATAGGTGTAGATGCAAGTGCAAGTACCGTACTGCAGGGAGATAATAGTAACGCCAGCCCAGGTGGCGAACCGTGGGAGAGTTGCCTCAAACAAATGGCAGAGGAGTCCTGTACGATGTTTCAAAGGATCCTCTCCATGAAAGAAGAAGAAATTATGGAAAAAAAAAAACAAATGGAATTTCTGCAAGGGGAACTAAACGAAATGAAGAAGCAAAAGAACAGTCAGGAGAACAAGTACGCATGTCTGAAGGAACAAAACAATGACTTACTAAAGAGGCTAGGATCCCTAAATGAAATAATATCCAATTTAAATGACCAATTGTATAAAATAAATGAAGAAAAAATGTGCAGTGAAAATAAAAGCTTAACCAAACAACATGAACTTCATACCCTTGTGAGGAATTATGAAAGTGTGGTAAAATTAATAAAAGCTCATGTGAAGAATTATCCCTCCGTTTTGTGCCTCATAGACACGGTGACGGAGCACGACAAGGACAACATCCTGGACTTGCTCAGTGCGGGAGAAAATTATAACGAGGGACTTAGTTTTTCACTTCAAACAGATGATAACCATGTCGACGTGAAGGCGAAACAGAATTGTGTACTTCAGAGTGTTGCACAGGAGGCAGCAACAAATAACGTCTCGCAAGTGTTGGCCAATTTAGAAGAAGCCAATATGTCCATTCGGCGAGAAGACAAAAGTGAGAACATTCCTGATTTTTGTTTAACCGATTTGATGAGGGATATGGGGTGGGACAATTAGCCTCTTCCCTGCACGCTGGTTGTAACAAAATGGGCCCACACGAAATGTTAAAAAAGAAAGGGCACAATTTACAGCGGCATAATATGTACCATTGTGTCACTTTTTGCACACTTCTCATTTGGACATTTTTTTTTTTTTTTTTTTTTTTGGAATACTCTCTAGTGGCTGTTTTTCCTTCGCGTCGCTGAAAGGGAAGTAACTCTGCTCGGCAAAATATAAATAGGTAACTGTATGTTTGTCACCCCATTGCGCTAGTTGAGGAGAGTATAAAATTACATTTTGTAAGGTTAATTATTTAAAAGTTTTTTTTTGTAAGCGGGGCAGTAATTCTGCAGGGGGAAAATACTGCACACAACCGTACTCTACATATGTGACTGGTCGGGTAGCACGCGCGGAAGTACTCAAACAGACAACGGGAAATTATAATGGAACATGGAACGATAAAAATGGGAGTCACATAATAAGCAGTAACGAATATGCAGCCGCAACGGTAAGCAGATTTCAGGAGTTAAATCCCCCTTACAGGCCTCCACTACGACGTAACGCACGTAAAACGAATTATTCAAACGTTACAGCAAAAAGGGGGAAAAAAAAAAATTAAATAAAAAATAATAAAATGAAAAAAAAAAAAATAAGGAACACTACTGACACGTCTACGCACCCTCCTTCCGCAGGCATACATAATAGTACAATGAATTAATCTCACGGAATTTAAAAAAAAAAAAAAAAAGCCGGGCAAATAAAATTAAGCGCAATGCATTCATATCGCAGGATTAGTCATCATTGTGCTCTTCATATACTTGCCAGACGGCACGGAGGGGAGTATACAAACACACACGAGCGCGCACATACATATATACAAATATACATGTGTGTGTGTGTGGGGGGGGGGGGGTAGTTGGGTCTCATGAAGCGGTTACATTTAAAAGCCGTCCACAGTGTGTGCCCCGTGTGTATATACATATATAACGCGTATACGTACATGTGTGTGTGTGGGGAGTAATTGCAACTCCTGTTGACGTTAAAATGAATTCTCAAACGATTCATATGCGTGTTACATCACGTCTATGCATATGGATACATATACATGTGTGCATTTAAAAAAAAAAAAAAAAAATTACCATATGATGTTATGTGAAGTGGTGTTATATGATGCTATATATGAGGGTGGGGGTAATATTCAAACATGTATATGATGGAAGGTATCACATGATGTCTGTATGTTGCCTCCTCTTTAAAAAAAATAAATAAATAAATAAAATAATTCGACCTTGTTTCCCTTCAATTCTGAGCATTAAATTTCGATTAACATGGACACTTTGCATACCTCTGTGCCCCAAACCTGCGTGATACTTTTGGCCTCCAACTGGGATGTAAAAACACGGGTTGGACAAACGTGCCCTTATATCACCATGATCCTTTTTTTTTTTTTTTTTTTTTTTGAAAAAGGCCACCTCTTAACTGTTCATGTTGCTAATTTCCGTTCTACGTATCGCGAGGTCCACTTCAATAATCATCGTCTTCAACCCCGTTGTCGTAACTGTAATCATTGTCCAGCGCGGCGGCATGGTAATCGGTTGCAGTCGCCGAGTCGTTCACATTGTCATTCACATGGTCGTTCACATGGTCGTTCACCGGCTCGTTCGCAACTCCCCCGTCGTATACATTGTCCTGCTGGTGTGTGCTGGCCGGATCGCTTACGTCCACATGGTAGTCGCCCTGGAAGGCACTGTTATACTCTTGGTTGTCTAGGTCGTTCGTGCTAATGTTATTGTCATTGCTGGTACTGCCACTGAAGGTGTTCGCGTCATTGTTCATATTGTTTTCGTCTCCACGTACATCAAGGTCGTTGTTGGTGCTGCTACTATTGTAGCTGTTGTGATTTGTGTCGTTATCCTCTGGACTGTTGCCGCTGTCCAGCCTGCTATACGCACTGCTATCGAGTGCATTATTATGCTCTCCCCCGCCAACCGTAATGTGCTCTGCGCCATCTACGACACTGTTCTCCCTGCTGTCCACGCCAATGCTGACGTGTCCCCCGCCAACACTGCCATGCTCACCGCTGACTGCTCCTACGCTAACCTGTTCTGCGTTCGCGTCGCCAACACTCAAGTTGGTCACATCGATATGCCCGTTGCTGCTTCGCGCACTGCCAAATTCATTTCTTCCTTGCTCCGTGTCGTTCACCTTGATGCTGGAGGCGGCGTCACTTTGTCTTCCACTCCTCACACTTGCTCGATCGCTGCGTCTGCCACTCTGGACACTCCCCCCACGAACGCTTCCATTTCTAGCACTTGCACTCCTCACGCTTTCCTCACCACAGCTGCTATGCACAGTATCGTTGCTGCCGTCGCTGCCCCTGAACATGCCTGCGTCGTTCTCCTTCTTGGTCTCGTAAATGGTGTTATAGTTTTCGTTAGTTCCCCTGTGGACGCTGTTCACGTTTTGATTGATGGGGCTGAAGATGCTTCTGCCGTGGGGGAGGTCGCTTCTGTCATTGGGCAGGTCACTCCTACTGTTCATGCTCGCAACTCTGTTGACGTCGCTGGCCCTGGCACTGGTTACACTTCCAGACGTGTTGCTGCAGCTGCCACTGCCTTTACTACCTCTCGCCTTTGCTGAACGACCGCCCCTAACGGCGCTCCTCGCGGCTTCCTTCAAGATGCTACGCATGTCGAGATTTCCACCCCCCTTCTTGCGGCTATCATGCTTATCCTCCTGTTCGCCGCTACCAGAGAAGGCACTTCTGGCACTGCTAGCCTTGCCATCACGAGGGACTCCCTTTTTCAACTCATCGGGGCCAAGCCCAGATTTGTCTTCCCCTTGTCTGGTCACGGCAGGAGCACTTTTATTTTCGTCATTTGAAAAATTATCATCTGTAAAAAGGTCATTGGATCTAGATTGCATATTCCACATCTCTGCATATTCTCCATTCAATTTGAGTAAATGCTGGTGGGTGCCTCTCTGGACCACTCTTCCTTTATTCAAAAGTACAATTAACTCTGCTGATGAAATGGTGCTAAGTCTATGTGCAATTATAATTAGGGTTCTGTTTTTTCTTAAATCTTCCACTGCCTTTTGAAACAAGTATTCCGTTTTAGAATCCAAGGAGCTAGTTGCTTCATCAAATATAACAATCTTAGGATCCTTCAATAGACACCTCGCTATGGCGATTCTTTGTCTCTCCCCTCCAGACAATTTGACCCCTTTGTCTCCAACCACAGTATCCCACTGATTCGGCAACGACATAATAAAATCGTACAGCTGAGCAGATTTCACAGCTTCAATTAACTCTTCCTCTGTTGCATCTAGCTTTCCATACAGTACGTTATAACGAATCGTTTCATTAAAAAGGATGGTGTCTTGAGGGACAATACCGATAATATTTCTTACTGAATTTCTCGTATACTCTGCTATATTCCTTCCTCCAATTTTTATTTCTCCCTCATAATCATAGAACCGGTACAGAAGTTTCGAGATGGTAGTTTTACCCGAACCAGTATGTCCCACTAGAGCACAAGTAGTGCCTGGCTGTATATATATGTTAATATCTTCAAGGGCCACATGTAGGGTCTGTGATGGGTAATGAAAATTTACACCTACAAGTTGAATGCTGACCCCAAATTTCTTTTCATGTGACGTTAGGGTAAATGCTTCCAAGTCAGAGTCCTCTGCAATATCGACTTTTTCTCTTAGAATGTCTGTCAGGTCACTTATATCGGTAAAAGATTTAACAATATTTGCATACAGTGTTCCTAGAATACATAACGGAGCAAACACATTAGATGTGTATACTACCACACTGATGAAGGTTCCACTATCAGCTCCATCATTTACAATCATACGTATTACACAAAAGAGGGTGAAAAATAATGTGCCGTTTAGAATAAATTGCTGTACACTGTTGAGCACACCCAAGCTGTTAAGAATCTTCAAGTTATATCGGTTATAATTAGAGAGTGCACTGCAGAACCTTTTAATTTCATAATTTTCATTACTAAAATATTTTACATTTTCATAATTGCTTAACGAATCGTGAGCAATATCATGGTACACATTGTCCATTTTATTCGCCTTGCTCCTTATCTTCTTTCTCCACTTGGTTATTTTTATCGTGGCGTATATGTAAAGTGTAAGTCCTATATAAAGGATGCTACCCAACAGGCTATTTTTATATTTAATTACAAAAATTATACATGTAACAACTCCTTCTATGGTGGCTGGAATGATATACATGAGTAAGGAATTCATTAAACTGTTAGCACTTTCAGTACCTCGGTCTACAATTCGCATGATCCCACCTGCATTCTTCGTGGAAAACCACTCATAAGATAAATTGTGAAATTTTTGAAAAATCGATTCTTGTAATTCGATGAAAGCTGATTGCTGTACTTGTGAATATAAAACTCCACAAATTTCTTTTAAAAATTTTGAAATGAAAAAAAAACTTACATACATGGTCAGGTAAAACAAAGAATTCTTCATGTCCTTTTTTAGCACTTCATTGGAGGCTAGTCCTAGGTATATAGGACATATTACACTGAACGCCTTGGATAATATAATGAGCAGAAATATCATCACAATGTACGTGCGTAAAATGAGGCTGTTTCCCTTTTGGTCTACTCTCCTGCTGGGCCACATGTACGGAAGTAAAATGGTCGCGAATTCTTTGTAAGTCAGTTTGTCTTCCAGGAAGCTTATGTTCGACTTATCCTTGGAGGTGGGGAAGGATGTGGAGGGGGATAGAGGGCCCTTGTTCACATTATTACCTCCACCGCTAACACTACCACTGCCACCCCCCATCTTGTTATACGCTAAGTAGTTTTTCTTCTTCTTGAGGAGAGCCTCATTCACGTTTTTCTCGACGAGAGCATTTCCCATCTGCCCAACATCGCCTTTACACCAACTCTTCTGCTTCTTCGTACTTTTGAACACATCGTCTGAGTCACTCAACTTGCTATAGGGTTGGCTCCAATAAGGTGTATTCTTCGCATCAGCTAGAGTAGAATCATTATTCATGGTACTGGTGTCGGTCTCTTGCAAATTGCTTCCCGCCTTGGCACCAAACACTTGGTACTTTTTACATTTCAATTCATTCATAAGTATCTTTTCCAGCTCATCCTTCGCCACGATGTTCCTCTTCTTCACAGTACACAATTGAATATGCACAAGGTAAAAATAAATGGAAGAAAATAAACTATAAACCATAATAATTACCCTTGTGGTACTCACATAAAGAGACTTGTACTCATCTGTGGGCTCTCCTCCACTAATTATATTATACTCTAAATTGATAATCTTTAAGGTATTTACAATGGCCAATATTCCCGTGAAGTGCCTCGAAAAAATATGCACCTTTTGCAGCGTTTTCAATGAACTTATTTTTGAATAAACAAAAAACAACACCAAGGTATAAAATATTCTGAACACGTTCAGGCAAAATAAGTCCACCAATGATTTAGAAAAACTGTAAAATAAATTTTTTTCATTTTTGTAACTTTGCTTGAAATCAAATTGGTAGCATCCCAGGAAAAGCAAAATGAGCACCACAATGTCGACTACATGATATATGCTGATTTTTTTTTGCACCTTTCTTCTTTTTATTTCGTTCTGTATCCCTAGGTACCGCAGATACTCATAGTTGGAGACGTCCATCTTGGCTCCGCTGCTCGTTCGGAAGGGGCGGTTGCTCAAACCACAGGTGGCTGCTCACATGGACAGAGCTTGATATCGGTTCCGAGTTATATACATATATTTACACCGCTTCTCTGCCCTGCGACGACGCAACACTGTGTGGGGTATGCAGGCGTTGCTCAATTAATGTACACGGCACTCCTGTCTCGCCTGCTCACCCGTTAGAGGCAACGGGGCATCGCGCTCGTCTTATGGTAAAGCGATGAGAAGAGGAAGCAAACGCGGCCTGAGGGAGGAATGTTAATGCCGCGATAAGAGAAGCAAACACAGCTTGAGGGAGGACTGGTAAAATGGTTTGGTGTATGGAACCGATAAACCAAACCGTGGTCCATGTGCCAAGCGGGACGCCACACAAATGTAGAGTTAGGTGGCAACAAAACTGTATACGGGAAAAAGTACGCACAGTAGATAACCAACTGGGGAGTGAGCAAACGGGCGAAAGAATCACAGGGGACGGAATGCTATACTGTGAAAAAATTTTCACTCATTATAAAGGTAAAGCACATCCCCCCCCTAGTGACGACGTTATCACATTTTTAATGCATACTTTTTAATCCCGCGAAAAATTGAAAACTTAAAACGTGCGCTTTTGCCTTTAGCAATGTGGAAAAAAGGATATACATACAAGTCAAGTTAACAATATTGAGCATAATGACGTATGCACAGGAACGTACGTATATAATAAATTATATGTTCCTTTTTTCACTTTGTGGCGCAAATGTATGTTAATCGTTTGGTAAAAAATAAAATGTATTTAATGGACTTGTAAAAAAAAAAAAAAAAAAAAAAAAAAAACCAAAGGCAAAGGCAAAGGCAAAAATTGAAAATTTTTTTTTTTTTTTTTTTGTTTTTTTATTTTCTTTTTCGTCCCTTTGGCAAATTGGGCAAAAGGCCAAAAAAGGCGTAGCCCGGAGGGGGAAGTGGGTACACGCGACGCATATGGATGGACATAATAACTTTTTAATGTCATGTGTTACTCCGCTTGGACGTATTTATATTTTGTATGTATTTTCTTTCAGATTGTCCAGGCTTGGATGGGGCGATTATTTTTCTGGGCGTCGGTCTCTTGCCTTGGGGGGAGGGTCACTCTGTGCAGTTAACGTTGTGGGGTGTTTCGCGCTTGCCAAGTTTGCACTCTCAAGTGCACTTGGCCCACATTATCATATTTTACTTTTTCTTTCTTTTCCAGCCCACGCTCTTCTAAGGGTTATTTTTTTTATTTATTTTTCCCTTTCATTCGCTACACGTGGACATACATAGTTTTAGAGGGTATAATACCTGCCCAAGGTATAAAACACTGTCAGGCGAACATTCTGCCGTTATACATATTATGTAGGCGAAATTATTCTCATGTTGCATGCGACATCCATGAAGGGGAGTGCACTGCTTATGTGGGAGACGGGTGCCTTGCCATTTATTATCAAACAATGTGTCGTGATTAGCAGACCCGGTAAGCCAAACCAGAAGATGTTGTCACTGCTCAATATATACATGTGTATAATTTTACGCCCCTGTACATGACCGCCGTCCCCCACCCCCGTGTAACTTTCAGGTCGCAACATCATCGGGGCGCAAGTAGGTATGTGCATGTTAAGCCGTTGTGCAACGGTTGCTAGCTACACGTGACATGGGTGGGAACCCCCCTTGTGGCTTTTTTGCGCATGTGCACCATTAAAAGGTTAAAATGAACTTGCTCCACCGGAAGTGAAAATTCTCAAAGTGGTAGCTTCATCACGCAAACATGTGTGGCCAAATTGTATAACGCCCCATGGGCTATTAAAAAAAAAAAAAATAATAAAAAATAAATTTTTTCGGGCAGCCAAATCTGGCTACATGGAACAAATTCACATAATTTCAAATTAGAAGGCAAAAATGGGGGAAAAAAAAAAAATAATAAAAACGACATGTATGTGCATGTGTACCGCTGGCCGCTTACATGGTTAGGGGCCACACCGCTACAGGACCGCCTGACCGTCCAGCTCCTCATCCTCCTGCGCGTGGAGGAGAAAGCTGAGGGTGCTTTGGTTGAAGGCGCACTGGTCGAGGGACTTCCTGAGATGCGGGATTATGAGTTGGTGTAGTTCATAGAGGAGGAACCTAAATTTCACGTCAAACAAAAACTGGTTCCGATATATATTCACAATAGATAGGACGATGTTGATAGAATACTCTACATGGAAACTGAATTCTCCACAAATTTTAAATTTTCCATACTCATTCTGAATACGCTGAAAAAAATAAAATGCCGTCAAATAGGTCTTTATATAAGTTAGCAACCTATATGCATAGCAAAAAGGTAAAGAAATTAACACTTCATGTAGAACGTTTTTTTTAATATTACACATAACCTCAATGATGAATTCAAAGGGATTTTTATTTAGCAGTTCTGGTCTTGGCTTCACTTTATTTGGAGGTTGAACAAAATCAGGAAGTTCATTTTTCCTTTTAGCTTCTTCATACTCTGTTAAATTTTTGTAATAAACATCAATTAGGGTTAATTCCTCTTCAACTAGATCCAAATACTCAATTAACTTTTCAGAAGACTTTATGGTTTCGATTGTTTTAATAGTGGCTTTAGTAAGTAGAGCATTTTTTTCCACAGAGGATGGGTAGGATATATCATTTCTAATGGCTTCCTTTTCAATTTGAAGATTCAATTCTTTATCTCTTTCTTCTTCTAAGAAAATAAAATCATCTTCTCGTCTCATCCAGCATCTAATGCTTCTGTGCGTTCCTGATGTTAAGAAATAATTGTCTTGTACATTTATAGCTATGCATGTCAGGACTCCAAAATTTCCATCCATGGTACAGATGCACTGAAATTTTATTGCGTCCCACATTTTTATGAACCCATCCCTAGACACACTAATCAGATTATTACTCTGGTTAAAGAAATGCACTCTGGTCAACACATCACAGTGGGTATGCATCCTCTTGGTGATGCTACCATATTCTAAATTCCAGAAGAACAGAAACTTATCTGCTGAGCTGGACGCCAACACCGTGTTATCGTTTGTTATATCCATGCACGTGATGGGCAGGCTGTGCCCATACAAGGTGAGGTGCAGCTTTAGCGTGTCACTGTATAGTACTTCTATTAGGTTGTTCAGGTAACCCACACAAATGTATTTTCCGTTTGGCGAGTAAATTGCGCAGCTCACTTTGTCGGTTAGGTTGTAGCAGTCGACTTCGTTGAAAGTTAGTTGGGTTGCTTGCCCCTTCATCTCCCCCTCGGATTGTAACTCATCCGATTGGGCTTCCCCCGATGAGTTTATTCGTCGCCGCTTCTTCACTTTCATATCTGCTTTATCCAATGCGGCGCCCTCCCTCTGCTCACCCTCTTCATCGCTCGATTCTCCTATCGATTCATCGCCCACCTCCCGCCAGCACAACTCAAAAACCTTCAAGTAGCTCTCCTCCCCAACAGACAAAAACCGATTCTGTTTCACATTCTTGCACATGCTGATGATGCCATTCGCGTGCGCCTTGTACGAGTGCCTCACTTCAATGTTCCTCAACTCGTACAGGTAAATGTACCCAGTGTCATCGCTAATCAGCATATACTCGTCATCCTCACAAAACAGCGCGTTCGTGCATCCCTCCAGGTTGATCGTGATGGTATTCTGGAAGGTCCTCATGCTCCATACCTTCACGTATTTCTTGCAGATGGACACCAGCAGCTCGTTGTTCTCGGATAGGCTCAGAAATTGTACCGTGCTGTTGTGCCCCTTGTTTATGTCGCACGTCTCCTTGAAGCACTTTGAATAGTCGTATATTTTTTTCTCCACGATTTTGGCAGGCGCGACGGGGTCGCCGCGAGCTTCCTCTTCCTCTTCCTCCTCCTCATCGTCATCCCCATGGTCTTCCTCCTCTTCATCGGCGTCATCACCATCTCCTTCGTTACCATCATCTGCTTCTTCATCCTCCTCGTCGTCATCCTCCTCATCATCACCCGCTTGTGCATCATTTTGGTCACCAGCGTGTTGTTCACCCGCCCTGACGACAAACTCATCCCTTTTAGTCAACACGTCCAGCAGGTTCACCTCGAATACGCTCAAACGGTTCGTAACGTACGCAGCAAGCAGGTAGATGTAGGAGTCCCTCTTCCTCCTGCGGTACACATCCAGGTACTGCAATCTGTACCTGCAGTTGTAATGAAACAAAAACTTTACCTCATCATTGGCTGTATGGAAATGATACTTGCCATGCACAGCCATTTCTTCCTCCACACTTTTCACATTCTCCATCAAGTTCATAAAATCTGTACTTTGGGTTCCTTTAAACTTTTCTATCCTTTTGGCTTCTTTCAAAATAGCTTTTTTTTTTTTTTTTAATTTTTCTACAATTCTTTTTTTTCTATTCTTTTCTGATTTCTTCTGATTCTTCACAGAGTTTATTTTGTACAACTCGATTTTTTTTACATTGGTGCAGCAGAGGAGGATCCCGTTGTTGTCCCCATCAGCGCAGTAGTTGCTTCGGTTACACAATTTCACCGACTTGTTGAGTGATTTCTTTATAACACTTAAAATGTGCTTATCTGTCTCGTCGTTCGAATTGGGTTTAGTGCGGCTTTCAGTTTTCCCCTTCATTTTCCCATCATTAGGGTTGTTAGCAACCTCCTCCTCATCGTCGTCGTCCACCTCCTCATCGTCCTCCTCATAGAGCAGACGTTCCTCTTGCACCTCGAGGCTATCATAGTAGCTCTCATTTTCAACAAGAAAAATCATTTTCATATTTTGTATTCGACTGTTGCTTGTACGCTTAATGGAAGTTAGGAAGGTGAGGTACACCTTGGAGGTACTACTAAACTTATCCTTATCACCAACGTGGATGTCAATTTTGTAAATCTTTATGTGTGCATTGCAAGCGACGATTAACCTCGTGTTCGTTTCGTTAATCAGGATGGAAGTAATTTCTTCTTCACAGTCGACCACAGTCTGTACACACAACTGAATGTTTAAATCCCATACCTTAATGAGGCAATCTTTGGATGCACTGATCAGCAAATTATTATTAACAAAATTATCAACATAATTATTTTTTCTTCTCAAAAATTCAATGTCGTTAACGACATTGGTGTGTCCTTCTAATTTAAATAGTCCTTGATCATTCACCACGTCCCATAGTATCACATTGGTATCCTTTCCACATGAACACAAATAATTTCCGTCCTCATTGAATTTCAATTTATTTATGGCTGATGTATGGCCTGAGAAGGTAGAAGTTACTTTGTTCGATTCTAGGTCAAACACTTTGATGCATCCATTAACATACCCCACCGCAACCATATTCTTATTCTTCGGGTTTACACATATGTGCGTCACATGGTAGGAGAAATAATAATACGGAGCTGTGAACGGCACCGTGAGCTTCTTCTTTATTTCCTTCTCCTGTATATTCCATAGGCCTACACATTCATCATGCCCTGTGGTGTGGGGGAAAAAAATAAACAGCAATTTGAAAAACGGCGTCCTCTTACTCTACATTGTCATCGTGCGAGTGGGAATTCCCTGCACGTCTGTGTGGTCTATGGGCTGACCAGACGACATCTCCGTTTGCTCCTACTTACCTGACAAAATACTGCTGTAGTTCAGAAAAACGCAGTTGGAAGTCTTCGAGTTGACAATGCCAAAGCAGTCCTCAAACTCGTATCTGTCGTACGACTTCACCATCGCTCAATTCAAAAAAATGAATGTGGGGGAGAGGGTGTGGAGTGCTGGCTGGTTTATGGCAGCAAATGGGAAATGGTAGGTCAACTGGGACAGCAAACAAATTTCGCTCCCCCACAACTGGCCTATATTTTCCCTTTGACGTTGCTTTTACGCGGATTTGTGGACCTCCATCGAGCATAACAGAACAAATGTGGCGGTAAACAGAGGTAGCGCAGACGTGGCAACGAAAAAGTGGCAATAGAACAATGACAAAAAAAAAAAAATGTCAGTAAAACCGCATCAAAACGCTTCAGACGAATGAAGATACGAAAAGCCACTTCTTTTCCCAAAGGGATAAAAATGTACTTTTTACCATTTCGCCTGAACCGTTCAGGTAAATTTTTTACCGTTTGCGAAAACCAACTTTTTTCATCTTTATGCCACCGTACAGTGTTATACAGTGGGCAGACCGGACAGTCGTTTTTTTGTATCAGTCAAATCTTCAGTTGAAACTGCGCCGTTGTAAATATATAGAGAGGCGCCATTTGCAACGAGATAAATTTGTTCTTTCGTTTTGGCCTCCCCGCAATAAGTAGCTTTTTGTTTATTCATATGGCACAAATGTTATCTGCTTTTTTTTTTTTTTTTACTTGCTTTTTTTTTTTTTTTTTTTTTTTTTTTTTTTTTTTTTTTTTTTTTTTTTTTTTTTTTTTTTTTTTCTGCAGCAAGCTCCGCATATTTTTCTTGCCCAATTAAACTCCTTGTCGGTTCCACTTCTCTGCAGTGTTCCAAATTTTAATCTTCCAAAAATGGACGTCCAAAATTTTAGAGAAATGGCAATACCCAAAAGAGAGTCAATTTTGAGAAAAAAAAAAAAAAAAAAAAAAAAGCGGAAAATTTACAATTACGAAAGTATGACACATTTGCTGTGATTTGTTCCAAGGGGCAATGAAAAAAATACCCATGTTGATATGCGCCTGGCAGGATAAACAAAGCCAACATTATAAATGTAAAGCAAAATTGCGCCAGTTCAATGCCCCCGAATTGGTCTGCCGTGTATATCTCATGAACGTACGGACGAACTGACATGGCACGGCAGCATAAATGAAAAGTTGCAATATGCCATGCGAACTGCCAAACGATAAACTGCACACAAGAAAAATGCTGCTTTTTACTACTGTTTAAACACGCCGAAATGAAGAATAAGCAGGCGAAAAAAACAGATAGCAGTGGTAACATCCTTAACCGCAGCAATGACGGCGATTATGAGGGGAAAGGGAAAAGAACTAAGGATGGAGGTGGTTGCTTGGAGGGGAACAAACACCCAGGGCGCCACGAAGTAACGAGTGAAAGTTTGCGCAGAGACAATTCAGACTCCTCAAAAGGGAGTGGGAGAGATGAACTCAGGGACGGTATAAGCAACGATCTAGTCGATCGCCTGATAGAGGGGATGCCCATCGAGAATGCTGATGATGGGAATAGTTGCGAACGTGAAAACAGCTACGACCCAAATGGAAAATTTGACCTGGACAAAAGTCTCCACCGCGAGGACAGCCACCCAGAAGGAGTCAACTGGAGCGATGACTTGAGCCTCCTGTGCAGAAGCTTCGACAGCGGAAGCAGCGAGCACTCCGATGATCCCCAGGACGACAGCATCGCAGAATTTATAATAAAAAAAAAAATTTATGAAAGGAACATTGCCATGATTGAGAAACAAATACAGACGAATAAGCTAAACAAGCTAACGCGGGCGCGGGAGGGTCTTCAGGGGATGATCATGCTAATAAAGAATAGGAAATTAAGCTTGAGGTGAGCGCCTTTTTTTTTTTTTTATGGACAGAATAAACAAGTTTTGGTGCGCCCTTCCTTACGCAGGGGAGGAGCAATTCATGCAAAACGATGACGCAAAAAAAAAAAAAATCGTGCCAAATAATATGTTGCAAAAATTGTTTACCAAAAATGTGTAGTACAGATTTACGTGCCCGTGTGCATATGTGGCATATAAAATGAAGTTAGCTAGGGCAATTCGAGGAGAAAAAAAAAAAAAAAAAAAAAAAATTGCGGACAAAATCTCAAATCGAATTGGCCTCACCGTACCACGTGCAGACATATACCCACGTACGTACAGCGGGATAAATCTCCAACCCCCCCACACACACATATCGCGACGCCTGCTTATTTTAAGAGGACCCGTTCTTTGGCTTTTCCTTGGGAAGTGAAATGTTGTCCAGGATGCCCTGAATGTAATTTACCTGACTCTGTCGCATGTAACTTACCATGCTGTTATTTTTTTTGTAATTTTTTACAAATCCAAAAAAGGTTTCTCTCTCTTTAATTAAAGCAGCATATTTGTTCATGACCCGTTCGATGTCCTCCTTATGCACAACTTCGTACGTAAATAGGAAAAATGGATACAGGACGCATAACTTCATTTCCGTTTTTTTTTCAAAATAATCACAATTTAATATGAACAGGAGGAATTCGCTTACTCTTGTCCACACTCCGAGGTACACCTCGAGGAGGGAGCGGCCCGCATCGCAATCCTCCGTGTGCGTTCCTGTGTGGCGCTTTTCATGCCCGTTTATCCCCCCCTGGACGAGTTCGTAACATTTGTAAAACATAAATACGTTCTTCACCAAGTCGCTAAAGTCGAGGTCCTCTATCGGTGTCATCTTCATGGCGACCGTGAATTCGACCATGTCGAGGAAGTGCCTGCAGTGGAGCGATGGCGGGGAAAAGTAAAAAAAATGAAAAGTGAAAAAAGAGAAAAGCGGTAAAGAAAGTATAATATCACCGCGTAGGGTGATTCCCTCATCAGGTGTACACACACATGGGTGTGCAGATACGCGCGTCTAATGGAAAAAGGCGCTCGTGTTAAGGCGGCCTCCTGGGCCCATCACTGCACCAGCAAACTGGCCACCAGTTCTGCACTCAACGTGGCACTAGGCACTGCAAACGAACGCTCAAATGTATAAATAATTACATAACAAATTGGAGGATCGTCTTGGTGTAGGTTGCCCAGTGAGAGACCCGGTCATCTACGTGCGCAACCGCTTCTCCTACTGCACTCATCCCCGCTAATCTCCCACTTGTAACAATTTCAATTTCGTTTTTAAATTTAACAGAGCTTATCAAATGAATACTCCGCAGGGTGTTGTCAATTAGGGTATGCCAATCGTGGGGGAAGTTGTTCCTCTTGTTCGTGTAACAAAGGAAGAAAAATGAAATGTACAAATGAAAGTATCCTCTTATCTTATCACTTCCATATATTATCAACTGTGCAAAGTTGAAATCGCCCTTATCACTGTAATGAGGACAAATAAAATGAGCAGGCAGCTGGAAATCACTCTGTGTTAGCTGTTCAAATATGAACAGAAGATACGAATTGAATTTGAAAACGAAATTGTGTATAATGTTGCTGAATGACTTAAATAACATCTGATGATATTTTTTTTTTTTAACAATGAGTGATAATAGAATGAGAGCATTGATCTGTTTTTTATTATTTATGTAAATTTTTTTTTTTTCCTTTTCGTCCATGGGGTCGTCTTTTTTGTTATAACGCAAGGCAGGCACTTTTATTTCACTTCCGTCATCCGAGTCTGGTTCCTCCACTTCGTCAGACACATAACCCAGCGCATCCTTCTCCACAAATGGCAGGTTCATATGTGCGTGAAGGAAGGGGTTTGCCTGGCTGACAGTGGCCCACTGCGTATTCTCACAAGTGTGTAAAAACACAAAGTCAATACATGCATTCAAAATGTGCATGTGTGTCTGAACAACGGATTCGAGTAACCTCCACTTGTAAAATAAAGGAAGGATAAATTTCCTACACGTATGCTCATTCTTATATCTGTGTAGAGAGAGTAACTCCCTCCGACCGTATTTGTATATTCGCACATAATCGTCCTGATTGAGGTTCACATATTTAAGTACCTTAAAATAGAATTGCTGCATTAGGGTATCTATGCTGGCCAGGAAGTACTCCTCCGTGAATTTATGTGTCAGAAAATGTTCAATTTTTTCCGACCCGCACAATTCCATTTCTTGGTCGTTCTTTGGCTTCAGCAGGTACGCCACGCAGAGCAGCAGGGAGGCGTACTTGACGTACTTGCCGTTGATGATGGGGTCCTTCAGGGGGTCCCCCGTGGTAGCTCCGCCCGGGCACCCCTGTCCAGTTGCCGCACTTGACCCATTTACTGCACTTCCCCCTGTGAGCAGCACGGAGTTCCCCTCCTCTGCCAATTTAACGTTTGTAATTTCGAACAAGACGGAAGCCAATTTGTAACGCTGCACCAACTCCAAGTTGGTAGCAAACTTACTTATACAAATCATTAACGCAGGATAATCATTTAATAAGTTTACACATTTCTTTGCTTGCTCTTTTATCGAGCATTCCCACATAGAATAGGTGATTAAATTGGAAGAGAGCTTTAAAAATTCACAAATTTCTTTATTTTTTACTTTTTCATGGTGTTCATATTTTGCATAGGACAACTTCTTTATGCAGGACTCCACGTTGTATGTGAATAGATCCTTGGTGACACGCTTGATCAACTCACTGAAATCGATTTGATTAGAAAAATTTTCATTTAATTGTTTATTCAATTCGAGCACTAGGGCGATGAAATTTTTCCGCACTCGCAGAGACTTGTCATTTATGAGGTGCTTTATTCTGTAGAATATTTTTGCAAACAGTTTTTGTATCTTTTTATTTTTTGCCATTTCGCTGAACCCAAGAAGGACTTCCACCTTTACGTTGTCGTGTTGCTTCTCCTTTAGGAGCTTATGGATCAGCACTTCCACCAGGGCGGACCTTTTCTGTTCGCTGATTATTTCCCACAGTTCATTCAGGACCTGGGTCGATATTTGCACGGGGGGTGTAACGGAGTGGGGATGAGAAGCGGCACCGCTGCAGAGGCGCGGAAGGTATTTTGGGTCCATTGCGGCACCACTCTGGTGGGCATATTTTGGCGCACTTATTTTTGGCCCAATTTATTTTCCACTGTGCTCACATGGCATATGCACTTGCCCACGGCCTGCAGGACGCAGGCGTTTACGTCTTCAGCCAACTCGAACAGGGCATGATAGGCTCTAGGGCACATAAACGAACGGGAGGCAAGCGGTCAATATGTGCACTACAATGAGTGCTTAGCAGGCGGCAGTGGGCAGCAATTGGGGGGCACTTGCACGTGATGGTGTGTCCCCCATTTTAGCTGTCCAACTTAGCTTACTTCTCCATCGAGGCTAAGTAATTCACGTTCTTTATGCAGGGGTCCTAAAGTAGCACCGTTGGGGGAATAGTAAAAAAAAAAAAATAATAAAATAAAATAAAAAATACAGCAACGGGTTGGTGAAACGGAAGAAATATTCCCCCGAGACTGAAGCTAAAAGGTAGTGCGCTCTTCCCATTTTTGCACCAAGCCAATTTCCAATTGTGAGTTTACCACGACGGGGAAAATCAGCTGAAAGATGCACGTCGCGTTGAAGCGAAGTTTCCAGTTGGGCGACTATAATAGGGTGGCACAAAGGGGGCATTATGCATAAGGGAGATATATATATATTTTTTTTTTCTATGCGAGATCGGTGCATTTTCGTATGTGCATTACACATAGCGTATGCCCGTTATAAATTCCCCCCATTTTGTTTTGTGGAGGGCATTCAAAATGTTCTTCTAGTGACCTACCCACTGGGATACTTACCATGAGGCTCCTCCAAATAATGGGGTCGTAAATTTTAAAAATTAAATTGTTGATGCTCTTGTCCCTTGGCGGAAGGAAGAGAGGGGCCCACGAGTCGTGGCAAATCGTGAGGAAAGGAGGTGAGTAGACCTGACCTATACTTGTGTGCCCTGTCCACATGAGACCATGTAATGGCTCTAAATGCTACGGACAGAAACGATTGCATGTTTTTTTTTTTTTACCCTTTATTGTTGTGGAATATACTTAGAACATTTCTGAATCGTGCCGCAACTTTAATGGGACATTTTAAGGCCAAGTTCACGAGGTGCTCAATTTGTATCTCCAGGGTCTCCTTCATCGGTCCCTCGCAGTTCTGTTAGGCCAGTTGGGGTGTGCGCGGAAAAGGATAGTGACACAAAAATAATTCGCACACTTCGCCACTTGCACTATTAGTGTGTAGTGGTATGTGTCCATTTGTCTGAAGCACTACGCGCAATGTGCGAATAATTTTTGCACAAGCCTACTTCCCATTTGGCTGCATGGGTACAGACCTCCCTCTGCGTGAGTGCAGTGAGGGGGGGGATGAGACGGTGTGTACCCCGCCCCCATTTTGCCATTTCATACCTTCCACGTCGAATGTATAATTTGTGAATAGTGACTGATGCTGTCATGGGAGAGGAGGACTGTGTTGTGCACAAATTGCTGTCACCAGTCCAGAGGAGGAGGAGATTAAGCGGCATGAATGGGGATGGACCATCAGGCAGGTAATCTCATTTGAGGGATGAGACTACCCTCAGATGTACTCCTTAGCAAATGCAACGAGACTACGCCGTTAGAGTAGCGCTCAATGGGATAGGAAGTTTTCCCTTTTATTTTATTTTTTTACGTTAAAAAGGTGAGACGCTATACTTTCGTGTTGAGACCAAACGTGTGCCAGGAACAATTTCCCATCGGGGCTGAGCAAAGGGGAATGGGCGATAATATAGTCGCGTAATTCTTCTTAACATATTTGCAAGCCGCTACGACCCCCCTCCCAGGGTTGGCCCATCTCAACTCCCCTTACTGTGCATAAAACTTTGGCAGGTTCAGTGAGTAGGAACAGAGCAGATAAAACGAGTTGGTGCATTTTTCTGGAACTCCCCATTTTATATATTTGCACAGGTCTTTGTGTTTTTTGAGTTTACTGATGTCTGCTCTTTTGCCCTGAGTGGTGGAAGTGAAGAAGTGGTCGTTCAGGTTGCGGTTAGTGGGGGAGGGGCGGAAAAAAGACAAACATATAAACACGAGTAGACACAGCCCACACGGGTCTACCCTTCAAAAAAAAAAAAAACTCTATACCACAAACCCATGTATGCCTATGCTTACCTCCGAGGAGCAGCTCCTCCACAGCAAAAATATCAACAGGTTAACTTTCACGTAGGAGGAAAATTCATTTTCTTCCAAGTTCAGTTCGCATAACTGGAATAAGCACTTCCCAAACGACATGCGCACTTCTCGGTCGCTTAGCATGAATTGGATCTCTGCGGGGGGGTAGCGGCATGGGGTTAGCGCGATGGGGTAGCGGCATGGGGTTAGCGCGATGGGGTAGCGGCATGG